AAATGTTTTGACCCCTAAACTCCCTAAACTCTCATAACTAAACCCTTATAACTAAAGCATAATAGAACATAATTAACCCAAACAAAAATAATAGAAAAAAAAATAATTTTGAAAAAATGGTATTTTTATAAATATTTCAAAAGTGTGGTATTTTTGTAAAGTAACATTTGAAAAATTGTATTTTTTGAAATTTCTCGATAAATAAACATTAATCAGATAAAGGAATTTTATTTTATTTTTTTTGTCGAAAAAATAATTACTCTTGGTTTACGTTATTTTTTAACCAGTCAAATTAAATAGAATAATAACGGGATTCGGCTGGTTTACATTAAGAATGGCTAAGCAGAGAAGAAATCTTTACACTACTTATCACACACATAAGGGAATAAATATACTAGTTTTAATTGTTCTATCCTTCATTTACTTTTATTTTTTCCATTTGACTGTATAAGCTGAATTCAGAGCAAAAAAGGTTTCAGCCTATTTTATTACTTTGACTATGCAATATAGGGTCTAAATGGTAACATTAATTTTGTGGAATCATGAAGAATTTTGTGGAAAGTACACCATTTGTCTTTGTGGAATGGAATTGGTAAAATTGTGGAATTATTGAGTATATATTCTCATCTTCGTAATTCGTAATGTTTTTAGAGTGTTTGTAATATTTTGTTTTAATAGTTAATGTTATTTATGTTATAAATAATGCTAATAATTATTATTCTAAACTTTTGTGAATATATCTTTTTTTGTAAAGGATTATAAATCTATGATAAATATATAATGAATTAATAAATTATAACTGTACACTAAATTTCTAACAAACTAATAAATTATAAATATACAGTAAATTTATAATTAACTAAAATATTATAAATCTACATTTAATTAATAATTGTATTGTTTTTTATTAATTGTATCAGTTACTCGATTTGATTAAAGTTGAGTTATTCCGTTCCTCAAATAAACAAATGTCAATAAATTTTTTTAATAAATTACTAAGATTAGAAATGAATAAAATTTAAAAATTATTTACTAATATTACTAGTTAATAAAAAAATGTTTATAAAATTTGCTAAAAAATATAAAACGAAAAATTTGATGGAAATAGAAATTATTATTTTTGTAAAATTTAATATACATTTATAAACATAAATATTTAATTTTGTTAAACAAAATTTTATCAATAGTTTCATAAGTTTAATTAATTAATTTATTTTAAAAAATTCCGCTAGATTTCACAAAATTTCGCTGTTACCATTTAAATTTAA